CAACTTCCGCATCAACCCTTTTTTTTTTATTAACAACAAAAGAAAACTTTATTGAATATTGGAAACTTGTACCTTACCATACTCTGTTTTTCAAATCTAAAATTTATTTTCATTGAGGGTTCATATTTTGAATGGATACAAAAGGAATAGTGTAGTCCCAGAACAATGGGATGTTTCTCTCTATATTTGGCCCAGAAAAAAAAATGCCCTGCTTTCTTGCTTCAGAACTCTGCAGCGCGTGATCAGAAGGCGGGAGCACATGACACTGATCTTAAAATAACTGCATTGGCTTCTCGTTTGTGTGTTTCGGGGTCGATTTTAAGGTTATTTTACTGGGTATTAAACGTCTTCGTGGTTTTGGGCCGCTCCGCAAAAGAAAAAAAACGGTTTTGCGCCGCGTGGTAGCGTTACAAATTCAATTAGTTATCAAATCAGTACGACAGTTGTTGATCAGATATTAAAATAACTGCATTGGCTTCCCGTTTGTGTGTTTCGGGGTCGATTTGAAGGTTATTTTACTGGTTATTAAACGTCTTCATGGTTTTGGGCCGCTCCGCAAAAGAAAAAAAAACGGCTTTGCGCCGCGTGGTAGCGTTACAAATTCAATTACCGGTAGTTATCAAATCAGTACGACAGTTGTTGATCAGATGATGCTCAGTTACAATATTGATTTTTGCCGCTAGAGGGGGATAAAGCATCAGTCAGTAATTTACCTGTACTGTATACAAAAAGTTGAAGAAACCTAACAGTAAAAATCATGGATGTGTTTTTACAAAGCAAAAGAGAAAGTAAAGGTTATGACAAACCTCACCAAAAAGGAAAAACATGTTTCATGTGTTTTTGGTTGTACAAAAATACTACTATTATTACTACTATTATTACTATTATTTGGCTATAAGCTTGACTTCAGACTCTAAGCTTAATTTATTTCAGGAATTCTTTGCCTGTTTGTCATCTCGTGTCACATTTTACACAACATCACTAAATGTCTTTTTTGATGATCACATTCCATAAGGTTGTTTATTTCATATCGGTTTAGATTTTGAAACGATACGTGGATTTTAGTTGTTGATTACAGACATAGTAAATGGCACGACAAATCATAATAATGTGAATGCGCCCTGGGTCACTTTGGACAGAAAAATATTGGGCCACAACATAAAAAAATTTAAGAACCCCTGGAAATAAACCACAGCTCACTTGAGACCCAAATGCGTACAGGCGCAATAGAAAATCACTGGTTTGGTGGAAGTCAACCAATGTTCAACTTTGGCAGTTCCACTGCATCTGCAGTTTGGATGTGGATGTATTGTATTGGTTTATTTTCTGAAAATGAAACACATCCAGTGAACACATGTACAGTAATCTGCTTTTTATTGCAGTGAAATCACATTGTATGCATATCAGCAAAGAAAACAGGTTGATATTCCATCACCAAAAGAGGTAGAAGAAAGAATGCAACAGTGGATGCACGACACTACTCAAGTTTGGGTGATTAGACTTTTGGTTAAAATTTCAGGTTGAATCAACTTTGTAAATTGCACTATATTCTTGACCGATTAACTGAGTTGACCATTTCAAAATTTCTGAATGCACATGTCCATCTGTTCAATATTTCATCCCGTACACAACTTTTGCTGTCACACAAGGAGCTGAACACCAACATTCACAACAAATATACGATTCATGAATTGACAAGTATTGTACATTCCCAAGGACATCCACTCCTGTGCCTTTCTGTGGGCTCTTTCAGTCTAACGGTATTTGTCTATACTGCAACCTGATGTTGAAACACTGAGACAATCTGAACTCAGTGGCTTTTTGGAAGCTTTGCAATGGCAAGGTACTGCTGATCCATTGTTAGGTGTCGTCTAGGCCTCATCATGTCAAAATGTGAACAGTATAATGAAGACGACTGTTTAAATACTAATACTAATTGAACCACAAAACATATCGGTCAATTCGTGGATCAAACACTTCAAACATCGTTGAATCACTTGTTAGAAAACAGCAAGATGTGCAAAAACCACTGAATCATTGAACAGTTGGCCATGTGGATTCATATGTTTAGGGAAGGGAAGGTGTAAGAGTTACAGTGCATATTAGTTTCCTCCTGAATTTTTGCCCGCAAGCTAAATATCCCGAGACTTTTGTGAGCAGTGTATGATAGTGGTCTAATGTGTTGAGCTAATAAGCCTTCACTCGCATGGGTGACAGACAATAAATATAAGTGCAGTCTTCAGGCATGCCTCAGTGGGCAAATATAACATTCTTATGCTGTAGTTTGTTTCAGTGGACATCTGCCTGGTCATCTTCGGTTCGCAGGGATGAGGATGGTCGCGATGCTACTACCCCCTCCTCGCCCGTCTCCTCCTCCTCTTCCTCCTCCTCCCTCTGCTGCAAGGAGGTGGCGTACTGCTCTAGGAGGCTGCAGTCCGTGCTGTCCACGCCTCCTACGGGCGCTCGCACAGTCATCACAGATTCTGCAGTCCCGCTGCTCAGGAAGCTGTCCTCAGACGCGGCCCGCTCCTCGTTTGTTGTCATTTGGAAGCCCGAGTCAGGGAAGGAGACGTCCGTGGCCACTTGGTTTGCAGTGCAACTAGCGACGGGAAGAGCCGCCGCCGGAGACGGTCCGGGAGGAGGGGAGACATGAGTGAGACTGGCCAGCTGCTCCTCGACAGACTGCCTCCACTGCTGCATGGACTGGAGCTGGGCAGAGTCAAAAATAAAATACGCAATCATTAGTATCACCAGCACCAGCATCAGATATTGATTTATGTGTCTGTAAACATTTTCAACGCCAATTAAAAATAAATGTCTTTTCCTTTTTTTCCCCTGAGCACATCAAGTTTTTGAGACATTCTCAGTTTTTGTTTTTAAGAGTAGAACGACAAAAGCTTGCAAAATACAAAAAAGAGCGCCCACGCGGGCACGAGGAGAACACGCAAACTCTACACAGGAAAGCCGGGGCCAGATTTGAACTCTTGCCCTTTGCACTAGTCGTTCGTCGTGCCACAAACTCAAAGCCATGTTATACACAAGCCACCAACTCAAAGACGTACACAAAATTAAGTCAGCTCACCTGTTTCCATAGAAACCTGACCGCTTCCTCTTGGACCATCCTTTGTAACCTCTCCTCCTCACACTGCTTCTGCACCCTGCAGATAAAAATACAACATTTCAGTTCTCAGTTAATGGAATGTAATGCAAAAACTGTAGGAAAAATCCCTCCTTTATAATGGTCACTTTTGATTGACAGTCAAGTAGGCAACATTTATTATTGCGGTTGTACAGTAGTACATGTAAGTGTAAGGTGGATCTAATGTTTTGTCCAATGAAAAGCATGTACAGTATATGTCTATGAAGTGTACCTGTCAAATTTTAATGACAAGGAGACGATGTGATCTTGCATCCGGCGCAGGCGGATCTCACTGCGCACCTCTCTGGCCTTGGGGTGACAACACCGAGTGTACCGTCCCCGCCACCATGCCTGGATCTTCACGGCTGCTCTTGTGGCTTCCTCTGACTCATTGACCAAATGTGAGAACGTTTCTTCTTCTGGGGCTTCCAAATGTGGCGTGACAGAGTCTTCCTTATTGCGCTGATCCGATGGGGGAGAGCACTGGGGAGACGACGGATGCCTGGGGGCCAGTGAGTCGGCTTCAAACGTCTCCGTCTCGTCCTCGCTGTCCGAGTTTGGTGGCCCGGGCTCGAAGTGAGGTGTGAAGGGCAAGAAGGTGGACTCGGAAGATAGCATGCTGCTGTTTAGCTTGTCCTCGTCGGTCTGCACATCTTCCAAATGGAGGTTCTCCTCTCCCAGCTGTGGGCTGCTTATACATGGAAGTGAAGGGCTGGACGAGTCACAGCTCATCCATGTGTTAAACTGCACCGATCGTCCTGTGTGGAAAGACCCAAAGCACAAAAACAACATATTGTATTATAAAGGGAGTTGACATTTGATGACTAGTGGACACTGCGCATACTTATGGTTCGTCAATGGAAGATTAGTTGATTTGTTTTCAATATTTGCATAAAAAAGTAATAAATGAATACATTAAAATTGGGGAGCAATCTTGAAAATTCGATAGCGACCAAACCCAAATGTCTGATTCAGACCCAGAAGGGCGACTGCCGCCCATTTTAAAACTCTATGCAGTGATCGATGACAGAACAAGGTTAGCTGCTCATGCGCACGGGACCCACTTGCTATCACAACAGTTAGCAAGAAGCCATTAGCTTCTTCCAAGAGCACAAGCCCTTCAATTGCCGCAAGCCCAGCTCAGCGACATGGTGACAATGGACCCTTCAAAAGGCAATTTATGTACATTGAAAATAAGTCAAACTTACTCATTTCTCAAATTGTTTCGTGAAGTCTTTTTTTTTTTTTTTTGTCAGCGCCAAGGCTTGCACTATGAATACAGGTTTTCAGATTCTAACCGCTTTTTGTTACACCGCTGCTTGTTTTGTAGCTTGTCTATTCAGTACTCACAAACGGATAGCCATGAACCGACTATATTATTATGTTGCATGCCAAAATGCTAGCTGCTAAAGTGAAGTTGCAGAAAGGCCGTTAAGCAAGAAAAAAAAATGCATAGTTTAAATTGATATGTTTGAAATTGCCCCAATTGTTTGCCTTGCTTCAGTCCCTGGTATACACTGCAAAAAACGCTCCTCAAAATTGGTGAAAAGCCTCGTCTTGCCTCTTTCCAGATCGCATAGGACAGCAACTGGTGGTGGTGGTAGTGTTGTTGTTATGCTCTTGGCCTCTATAGTGTTCCCTTGTGGTGATGTTGGCAAAGTGTCTGCTCTTTCCACAGCTAGTTCAGTGGGCCGAGGAGGGCTTGGACAGTCCCCGCGGGTCTCCTCTAACAACTGCATTTGGTGAAGCCTTGGGAAAGGAAATCATGATGATTATCATTCATGATTTTTGTGGCTGAATACTCCATTTCCAACAAGGGGCAAAGCAACGTATGAGGCTTGGGTTTCTACCTCTGCTTATTCAGGATCTTCTCCAGTTTGGCATCTTCTGCCATCACCAAGGGCGACGAAGCGGTCCGGAGGCAAACGGTGGAAAGGTACTGAACCAGTTCAACATGCTGGCCTGGTCGATAGAAGCGACCTTTTCCCTGACTGTACAGCCACTCCGCTTTCAGTCTGGAATTGGTTAAAAAACATACAAATGAGGGTCTTAAGACATAAGAAGTTCCGGCCTGACACCAGCAATTCGAATAGCTGAAAGAAAAAAAATGCTGTGTATGTTCTCCATGCCTTTGATCATGAATAGCAACACAGCAAAAATGTACTTACCCTTCTTTTTGGGACACCACAAAACCATCCAAAACTTTGAGGCTCAGACACCAATTCATCACATACGGCCGGTAGTCGAAGCGAGGCAGTGACGGGGTTGGCATCACACAAGGGTTGTTCATAATGGACAACTGCTCCAGTTTGCAGAGGGGGGCCAGGTGTGCCACCTACGGCCAAAAGTGAGCATCTGTAAAAGTGCACATCAAATCTCTGTATGCGTCTGGGGCGATGAAAGAGGAATGCGTACTTCATTGAGATCTGTTATCTCATTGGATGCTAACGACAGGATGGACACATTGGCAGGGAGATTGGCAGGCACAGTTCGGAGGGTTGTCACGCTGTTTCCATGCAGGAGTAGTGTCTGCAAAATTGGAGGAAAAAAAAATATGCCAAGCCTTTGATCATTTAAACCGTATTTGTTAAGTTGCATTCAAGGATTAAAGATTAAATCGCAACCGTAATATTGAGAGAAAAATATTGCAATTAACTACTTTCCTTAATCGTTCCACCCTAATTGATGACAGATTCTCATTTGTAATTGACCTAGCAGCAGGAGCTTTCCGCCACACAATGAGGGCTCTACTCCCACAAGGAGAAGACACTTTAGTTGCAAGGTTCATGCTATCCCCCCACCGACCCCCAATTGTCATGAAAACAGATGCCAGGAAAACTGAAAGTCCAGCAGTATAAGAGGCAAGATATACAGTTGCTCACTTGGATGAGACAAGGCCAGCCGCTAAGCATGAACTAATTTTAGTGAGAAAAGAAAAAGGGAGCTATATTTCGTGATCTTGAGATGTTTTGACAATAACATGTTATAGCAATTATATGAAAAAAAAATCACAATGTTTGATTGAATAATTATATACTTACCTTTAGCGCCACAAGTTTACTCATATCCCCAATGTTAGATATGCTATTATCTGAAAGATCCAAGTGTTGAAGAGAAACACAGTTGTTCAGCTGCTCAATAACCTGTGCAAAAAAACAATCACACTTAAATATACATTTGAGAGACGAAGTAATGGTTTAATCGATTTATATTTTGTACCATAAAGTCAGAAAATCTTTACCTTAATTGCATTTCCGGACAGGTTGAGCCATTTGAGGCTGGCTAGGTCCCGTAGTCCCTCAATGTAGCCAATACTGTTATTGGGAAGATTGAGGACTTGCAACTCATTGAGCTGAGACACACCCATCATCCTGACAAGGCGATTGCTGGCTACAGAAAGCTAAACATAAAAACACCAAGGACACACATGCGGCATAAAGAATATTGTCCTACATTGACTTCAGGGGTGGGATGACTTACGCACCTGCTGAAGGCCTGGGTTCCTTTCCAGATAGTCCAGTTTCATGATTTGATTTTGGTCCAGGATGAGCGTGTGTGTGTCCTCAGAGCAAATGAAACTGGGGTCAATCTTCCGCATACCCCGAGCCGAAAGATCGACCACAGGCCCTTTTGGGGGAGGGAATAAAAACATGAACATTGGTTAAACGTTGTGAATGTCATGAAGCCATTGATCATACACATGGTGTGCTAATACTTGACTGAGGGTTTAGTAAACGACAGGACATGGTGGTTAACGATGTTTACTAGCGTTGGACTTAATAAAGTGGATTCGTTCTAAAGAATTGTTTAGTTTAAGTTAAAGTGGTCACAAGATGTGGCCATTCAGATTGAGACACGTATAAGCATGACAAAAATATTATTACAGCTCAATGTGCGATTACATACAATGTGCTTTGAAAAGAGGCTGAGGAAAAAAAATCAACGCTATTTGACAAGACGTACAACAGCAGATTGGTACTTCCAAGTGTCTCACTACTCCCAAAGAAAACAACGCACGTTAGCTGACGATGGCTGAAACTCAACAGTCACAGAAACTAACCATGCAACAAAAAAAGCTTGTATTAAAACACAAGTAGCATACTTACCATTTGTATCAAATTGTAAATCTGACACCCCCATTCCGTCGACCCACACTCACAAACAAATAGCCGGTTAATGTTAGCTTGGAATAATGGCTGCAATACTCGGGAAGAAACGCGTCCGTCGCTAGCAAAGAAGTTCAGTGTCGCTAAGGAGCATCCTGGGAAATGTAGTTCACAACCACTTCGCTTCTCTTTATGACAGTTAGTGTAATATGTCTTGAAAGACTACACATTATCACTTCCAGCTCCTTGTTTGTGGTCGGCGAAGGGGCACCAAACGTTGCAACGCCACGAAATGTTGCAAGAGCGCTAAACGTGTTATTTGAGTTAAGTTGTCAAAACGTTTAGTAATGATACGATTCGAAAGTTTTGTTCTGATACACCTACCTAAAGGTTCATGAAACTCGCGAGGATGTCAAACTGATGTTCCTTGCATAATGATTCGTATTTTTCAGAAAATACATTTATGTTAAATGTATTTTAGTTGACCATGTTCTTAATCGTCAAACGATTAGGGAAAAATATATATAATTTGGTTTAGAAACGAACGTATAGTCTCCTTATTCGGCTTCCGTTTCCGCCGTCTTTCTTTCCGGTTTTGAGCCCTCTCGTAGCCGTAATGAAGTGAGTTTACCGATTAGAATCATACACCATCTCGTCATTTAAAAGACGATGTCATATTATAATGTCATTTAATCGAATAAATAAACACATTTCTTTCAGTGACCCCGTACATTTTTCGTTTTCAGGGTCGAGTTGTGCAGTTTCAGCGGGTACAAAATATACCCCGGCCATGGCCGCCGATACGCCAGGATAGACGGGAAGGTAAACGTTAAGCAGTGTCCTCCTTGTAAGCGCGTCTTGTTTTGGCACTTCTGGTGTCCACGATGAGGCTTAAGTTTCACCAAAATAAACGGTATGCATGTTTGATGTGCTTTTAACGTTGAGATAGGTTAAAAAAGAGATGCCTAGCTGAAATAGGCCTTGCCGGTACACGCTAAATGCTATCCTTGTTTTCACGGTGTCCACGATGTGGCTTAAGTTTCACCATAAACGGTATGCATGTGTGATGTGCTTTTAACGTTGTGATAGGTTAAAAAAGAGACGCCTAACTGAAATAGGCCTTGCCGGTACACGCTAAATGCTATGTATGCTATCTCTCCTCCGTAGCCGTTTGTTGCAAGGCGAACACGCGTAACAAAAATGCGTCCAGTCCTCCAGCTTGATCTTCTAATGCATTTTTTGTAGGTGTTCCAGTTCTTGAACGCCAAATGTGAGTCTGCATTTTTGGCCAAGAGGAATCCCCGACAGATCAACTGGACAGTGCTGTACAGACGCAAGCACAAGAAGGGACAATCTGTAAGTAACAAGCCACTTAGAGTGAGCGTTTTGTCTTATGTCTCTTTAAAAGAGACAACAGAATAGTCAAACTTGACTTCATCTTGCCGAGCGGATTCTGCACGGACTCATGGTTGTTTCTGTTATGTGCTTCACAAATATGAAAAACACAACAGTGCCCGTGTTTTCGGAGTTAATATCTTTAAACAGTTGCCTACTTATTTCATCGATAAATAACACTTCTGACCTCTGATTTCAAATCAAATTTTAAAGAAAATGTACCGCATACAACAAATCGCTTTTGGGGAAGCTGTATGTCGAAATATGGTCAATTTCATATTTTTTGTCCACCACATTGGTTCATCGCTCATCATTTATTTTTGCACATTATTTAGAGTAGATGCATTTTCAGCAAATAGTTTTGGTTCTGCATAAAAATGTGCAAATCGGGGTTCACTGCATGACTTCTACAGTAGGCAATCGATAGTTTGGCTGTGGGGAGACGGTGTGCATGGTGTCCCTCCGTGTCATGTGCTGTTGCTGGGCTGTGTTTTGCAGGCTGTGCATCAGGACTCACTCCACACCCTGCAGCCATAGAACACACGGAGATCATAGTACTGGCCTTTGTTGTCGATAATGACACATTACCAATGGCCGGCCTCCAAACTCTCCGACATACCTAAATAGCTACACATTGTTTTAAAACTTGGTCGATTTTAAATTCTGATGATTGGTTAGTACAACGAAGCCCTGGATAGTTTTGCATTTGATAATTTGTGATTTTTTTCCCTCCCCCCATAGAATCCATCCTGCGCAATTCACTGAAAAACTTGCTTAGTCATTTTTGTGCTAGGGCCGAAGCAAGAACAATACTGCTCTGGTGGCATCTTGGTGCCAAGAAACTTTTGCTCTGACTTGAGCTGCATTGAGACAAAAGCTGTCTTTTGCTGCCATCGTGTGGTATCTCTGCATTTACTGTACAGCGTGAATCACTGTTCATGGGGGTTCACTGTACTAGCGACTATTTCATGTCCTAATAGGAAGAGGTGAGCAAGAAGCGTACCCGCCGTGCCGTCAAGTTCCAGAGGGCCATCACTGGTGCCTCCCTGGCTGAGATCATGGCCAAAAGGAACCAGAAGCCCGAGGTCCGTAAGGCCCAGAGAGAGCAGGCAATCAGGTAGGAACACTTGGAAGCATGAAGTAAGTTTAGAAGTATTTTTGTTTGTTTGTTTGTTTTTGGTGGTTGCATTGTATTACATACACGAAGTATGTTGCGATAACTCGACTTGAACTGTAGCAGATGGAAAAAGTGCTGGAAATAACCTCAAGAGTGGGAACCCTGGCAAACAGGCATTGTTCACTGTAATTCAGATGGGAGTAAAATATGCTTCATTTTCTTTCTAATTAATTAGGGCTGCCAAGGAGGCCAAGAAGGCGAAGCAGGCCGCCAAGAAGCCCGCTGCCCCCAGTACTAAGGTGAGAGCCGTGTTGACATTAAGGCGGCTGTGCAATGCACATAATGTTGAGTAATTCATTAGATGCATGTCAAGGTTGGTGTACTGTTGAGAAAGTCTCTTCGAGGCTAGCTTGTTTTATGTAAATGTAGTCTGGATGTGTGAAATGGTGGTGGTCATTGTAGTTCAGTTGCCTCTGCATGATTTATGTGTTCATTTTTTCTGTCACTAATGTCTCCATGAATTCTCAAGGTTAAAAAGTGTTTCCGTGCCCTTGTCTTCTAGGCTACCAGCAAGGCTGCACAGAAGCCTAAGATCGCCAAGCCCATGAAGGTGAACGCGCCCCGTGTTGGTGGGAAACGCTAAGCCCGGGTTCCTCATTTTTGGTTGTGAATAAAAATTTTGTGGGTAACCATCATCTGGGCATTTTCTTCTTATTTGAAACATGACCTGTAGGCCTGCCACTAGAATCACTACATTGGCTTAGCGTTCAATTTTGGACTCGATAAATGGTCATTTTCACGCATATTTGTTTACATGCATCATCAACATTCATTCACGCTGTTTCTTCCCTTTCCTGTTTATCGTGTTGCTTGGCACCATGGGAGTCGGGGGCATACAAACATACTAGGGGTGGAACGATCATAATTAAGTTGTAAAAACCTGACGTGCAAGAGAAAAAATTAGGCCAAATTCGAATCAATGTGGGAAAAAAAAGTATACTAGCTTCTCTATGAAATTTTGTACAAATTTGATTCGTGTTTTGAAAACTTTGTTGAGCCAAGGTTTTAGAAAAGTTACAAAAAAATCTCATGGATAACCGAACCACCAAACAAAAATATGTATGAATACTGAAATAATGACCTTGTCTCAATTTAGTCACAAATGTTTTTGCAGGGAGCCATGACTTACACTGTCGGATAAAGGACAGCAGTTGGTTACACAGGTTCATTTGACCTTTTGCCATCCAATGGAAGAACATTTGATTTTTCAGAATATAGACAGCTGTCAGAGATAGAAAAAGATGTATTTCCGATGAATAATTAACTCAAGTCCCAGCCAATTCTAGACCCCCCTTTTTTTATTTTTTTTAACCCTAAGTCTTGAATTTTTTTTTTTTTAAAAGTACCTGGGATTGAAAGTGTGGAGTCTGAAAACATAAAAATGTCTGGGAGTGAATGAGTTAAAATCACGATGCTGTGATCATTCTTTGACCTAATTACAGACTTTTTGATAGGCACTACAAATGGGGGTAGGTTTAGATATGACTCAACAAATCAGCTGTATTTGTTGAACAGCATTTATTAGCCACACCATACGTAACAGGCATTACATTTCCACTGTGCCTCAAAGTGCCATTTGCTCTCTCATTCAGCAGATAACATGACATAAAAGTCCGATCAATTATTGCCACTACAGTGAGGGGATTATAATTATGGTGGGGGAAAGGTATGATTTATAAGTTGATTTATACACAAATATATTAAAAAATGAATTTCCTAATAGCAAAGAGGTTTTAGATAAAAGCAGTTCAGTATCTGTTAGCTAGCAACCTTTGTGTAGCCGAACAAGCTGCACAGTTTTAATAGAAATGGTGTTATACAGTTAGCACTATGAGAAAGAAAAAATTAAAGCAATGACCTGATTATTTTCTCACAAATTTAAAGCTATTAAAATGAAGCAATTTAATCATAGTATGATAAATAAGCAATTAAAAGCAACATGATGATGCCCTTCAACGGCTTTGGACACATTCTTCAAAACCAAACATGTTTTGGGGAAATGATTGCATGAGGTAATGACTGCTACACATTAAAATGATATACAAACAAAATGTACAATCAATCAATTTGTTAAACAAGTAATGTGTGCGTTGGTGACCATGTGTTTTTTTTTTTTTAAATGGTAAATATACACACCCTGAAGAAACTTGGAACTTTTGGGGAAAGTGCACATTTCCAGCAGGGAGATAGCGGCTAAATATGGTCAAATCATGTTGCTGGCATGGATGTTAGGTGGAAATGGTGACGTGATGATGTACAAATAACGAGAGGGACATGTGACGCAGGTCAGTCGGTGGCCCGGCTTGAAGTTGCCCTATTACTTCACTGTTGACGGTCAGGACTCTGTTGCCCCCTTAGCCTTCTGATCCTGATTGTATCTGTTCAGGGACACAACAGCCGCACAATGAAGAATATACAGTACATGAATATAGTGCGGTTTAATGAGAAGTTTCTTTGAATAAGTTGCAATGTGTGTGGGAGTATTTAAAACAAATAAAAAAAACTGAATTTAGTTGTACTTAGAGAAATATCTTTATTTTTCATCCCATAATGATGGTGAATCTTCTATATATGTTACGCTTGAAAATTGTGGGGGTATTGAAACACATTTACGACATGATGAAAAAGTGAAATGTGATTAAAGCGTGTGTGTGTGTGTGTGTGGAGGGGGCGGGGTAATTTTGGACCAGGAATGGGCAATTAGCTGCTTAATTTTTTTTAATACATTTTTTAATGTGATAGCTGAGCAGCCGTTTGTTGTAATAACAATGTTCACCACTAGGCGGCAGCATCTCCAATACTGACTACGTGTGCATCAGAGAAGAGAAGGGCTTCCTACCTTGGTCAAGAAACAGGTGAAGTTTGAAGATTATATGTTCAGCGAATTCAAATGACTGCCTAGTTTGCTTCGCGACGCTATGAGCCAAGAAAGATTTAAACGCAAGTCGCCACTACAGCACTGATCTCAAAATGACAACAGCAATTTTTTCTCTGCCGCAAGAAACATTGGCTGTTCATTTTAAGTGCACGAGGAGTTCATACATGGCAATTTTCCGCGGATCCGCGGAAATCCGCCGTTTTATTTCTTAAATTGATCATTTTTGTGAATCGTCTAAATCCGTTGAGAAAATTTTAGGGGCGGTCAGGTACCTTATCGTCGAGTTTGGCTTCCTACCTTGGTCAAGAAACAGGTGAAGTTTGAAGATTATATGTTCAGCGAATTCAAATGACTGCCTAGTTTGCTTCGCGACGCTATGAGCCAAGAAAGATTTAAACGCAAGTCGCCACTACAGCACTGATCTCAAAATGACAACAGCAATTTTTTCTCTGCCGCAAGAAACATTGGCTGTTCATTTTAAGTGCACGAGGAGTTAAATTTGCGTCCTGCAAAAACATGGACGTATTAAACGCTTCCTAGTGTTACAAACACTTATGATTGCTTGGAGAAGCAGTTTGCTTACAGACGCATGTCTTGACTTCTTCATTCTTTTGCAACTGTTTCAACTTGAAGGTGTTTCCAAACTTTTGACTGGAACTGTATCTACTCCAGACAAAGGTAAAAGGTATAGTCAGTGGTCACCTCCAAATCCTGTAGAGCTGGGAGCCTCCGGCGCAGCCCAAGAAGAAGTTGACAGCAAACAGGTTCCAGTTCTTTGGGATGATGACCAGCGAATATCTGGACCAGATCAGGCCTGGTCGACGAGGGCCAAGGTTATGTACACATGAGTTAGACAGTCTGTTTTGTCCATAACATTATCAGATAACGTTTGTTTGACGAAAAATACAGAACAAAAAAATGGTAGAATCACAATGTACTTTTGAGTCGATCCATTAAAACAGGAAAAAAAAGTCACAAAAATGCATACCTACACGTGATCCGTTACTATTTGAAGCTGAAGTTTCATCTTACCTGTTGCTGTTAGTACGAGAGACTGGGAGGTACTCAATTTTTCTGCTGGCCGTGTCATGTCAGCTAAACCAGCTGCAACCAGGCCCTGAAAAGGTTAAGCCACCACATTTATATTAAATGTATTATTTTATCTCATTCAAAAAGTTGCAAAGTTAACCTCAAAGCATTTAGTCTTGATTTGGTTCAGTATGTCTCTTGTTGCCAAAATGACAAGCGGAGTCCCACAAGGGTCAAGTCTCAAACCTGTTATTTCATCATTCCTGATGCGATCTAACGGTCCCCTATCCTTTTATCCTTTAATCTATTCCATTTTATATACATTGAAACTCAGATTGGGCGATATGGAGGGGAAAAAAAATATCAAAATACAATATTGTTTGTCACAGTTTTTTCCCACATTGTTTTTAAATTGTATGTTTTAAAGCATATGACATTGGTGAGTCTGTCCGTGAGAGTCGGCGCGTGAGCTGTGGCAGAAAGAAGCTCCTCTGCGAGTGTGCTTTTGTGTTTAACTGTTCTCCCACCATTCAATAAAAGTTAAAAACTGCAGAGGCGACTGTGGCACTCCTTTCCAACATGGGAGGGGTTATAGTAAGTACACTGTAAAAAGGTAAAGATCGACTGCAATGTAGCGAGGGAACAATGTACTGCTGATCTTAGCACTGACTGGAATGCGAAACATGCCACGCCACGCAATTGATGAGGGGAGGGGGGGACAAACCACTTACCCATTTGAACATCGGAGCCCAGAAGAACACAGTTTTTGGACCTTGAAACAGAAGAAGGGAAAAAAAACACGTTAGCCTGCTCTGGACATTATTTTGTGCGGCAATAGTATTTGAAGGATTTCTCTTGAGACGAAAGAAACTTAATATCTACAGTCAGGTGAAACCTAAATCCAGTTGGCCAGAACACAAACATTGCAGTCGATGCAAAAGTTAACAGCAAAGCCATTGCCCTGCAGCACAGAGGAGAAGACAACTATAAGTAAAGGATCCCAAAAACCTGCTGGTTTGGTTGTTGGGAACGTAATACAGTCAAAAGACTCCATGGTTTAAATTATGCCTCCACTTTAGAAACATAAGTCTCATAAGAAACATAAGTGCTACTGAGACTAACAAAGGTGAGGAGGCCCATAAAAGGCTGGAAGCCCTGCCTTTTCTATCATATCAACCACCAGTGGTGAAGCCTTAACACAAAAAGAGGACTCTGTTTCTGCAAATCATTTGGGAGGGAGGTGTTTCTTTGCGGCCGCCCCTTCATACCTTGTCACAAAGTTGTCCTTGCACAATTCCAATACCCTTGAACCGGGAAAAAACAACAAAGACTAGACTATTAACCCCCCCCCCCCCCACCGCACCCTCCCAAGTATGAATGTGAGTTAAAGTTTTTGGACTCTCCCCCTTATGTTGCTTATGCTGATGTATGAGTAATGTGCTGCTGAAAGTGAACACAATAGCTCCTCTCATATTCCTAAATGAGTATCACCCCAAAATAAACAATGGAATGGAAACAGCACACTTCAAACTTGGCATCTTACCACACCACTCGTATCTCATTCGTATCCAGGGAGAATGTACAGTTTTCTGCATTGAATGCTCACTTCTGTGGATATAAAAAAGCCTCACTGCTTAAAGTTTAACTCATCTTTCCATCTACTTGCTGCTTTTACATGCAGATTATCAACATCAAAGACACAGACAAGTTATCTCAAATCTCGGTGCTAGTTTAATTAATTACGGATTTTAAATGATCACGACTTTTAAGAGTTGTTGTTATTGTTTTTTTTTATCGGAACGGCGGCAAATAAACTTCCCTTTACCTGCCGGGTGGTTGTACAAGGGTCTCAGTTTGGCAGGCAGCATATGCTCAATCCGGTCCAGAATCCTGTGATAGGACACTCTCAACGCAGCCATGATGAATAATAGCGGCTTGCTATCTGGAGAGAAGGGGGCAGATGACAACCACTCAGAGCTAGAAGCTAGGCTAAACTAGGCGCTAGCTACAATGAAACAGCTCGCACTAACACTATTGTAAATTTTTTTGCGACGTTACAAATACTGAAAGATGTGATCGCTTTCAAGATCAAGAAGGGAAGGGATGCTATGAGGCTTGTCCGCTAATGTGTACGAGCAAGCGATGGTAGGCTAGCTGTCATTAGCTTCTCCCTGACCCACACGAAGAGGTGACTTTAGGCTTGTACTGCAACCTTGGCAGAGAGGGCGGGGCTAGGGAGTGACACTGTCCTGATTGGTCTGTCTATTCAGCGCCCCCATGTGACTGGTTTTGAGAGTGCAACGTATCGGTTTTACATCACGACAGATCATGACGGGGTGGCGGCATACAATACAATACAATACAATACAATACAATACATCGTGATTTATATAGCGCTTTCACAACAGCTGCAGCTGGAACAAAGCGCTGAACAAAACAGTTACCATAAAGTAAAATAATAAACACTGCAAATAACATAGATCGCCTCAATTTCTGTCCCTTGATGATCAGCGAATGCGCTACATCGCCAACGAGCTGTCCGGCGGCCCCAACAGGGTAGTGGCGCTCAGCGTCTGTGTCCACTTCAGCCCCTTCCCCATGGAGGTGTACATACGTCGCCTTCGGCATATCCGCAAGGCGGTGGTGCGACTCCTGGACCGGGCGCTGGGGACGGTGGTGGTCGTCCGGACGACCAACCCCAGGGCTCTGGATCGGGACCTCAGTCTGACCTTCAGTGAGTGGGTTTCTTTGCAACTGAATGTCGTACTGCGTGCCATGTTCAAGAATCTCGACGCTTTGCTGGTGGACGCCTGGCAGATGTGCGTGGCGCACCATGAACCTCACAACCTTCACCCTCCGAGGGCTATTGTCAAAAACATGGTAGACATGATGTTGTCCGAAGTTTGCCTCAACGGGACCAGGAAGACCGTCTGATTTTTGTCAATCAAAACGAGGTTGGGAATGCGAACGAGTAGAGGGCCTTACTTAGAATGTTCGAATTGAAGAAGTCCATCCATTCATCCCATTATTCATACCGTTTTATTTTTAATGAGGAGAATGCATTGTGAAAACAATTCAAGAGAAGCCTGTTACTACGTGACCTTGAATTAAACATTTACAGACAGATGATTTTACCTTCTAAAAGTTCTGAGAGTATTCTAAAATTCATGTTTAAAATTTTACCCTAACATAAACTTTTTCCATCCACTTTCTGATCATTGAACACATCGAAATTCATAAAAAGTTAGAATTAATAAATGTATGTTGTGAATAATCTACAAGATAGTTGTAAAAAAACATGCCAGGTATAACGTGAATGATGTCCATTTCCAACCCAAATTAGCTCACAAATCTGATTAATGGATTGAATGGGTTGTATGCACATGTGACTCATGAACCAAATATTTTTGTGAACCAAGTGGATGAAAAGATTCAGTGGTTCTCAAGGCTTAATGTGATACCAGCACGACAAGCTCCTACATTTTTGCACGTAATTCTTCATTTTATTTATTATTATTATTGTTGTTGTAATATACAGGTATTTTCAAAATGAACCCCCTCCCCTCTCTACCTCCGTTATTTGTGATACTTCAAGTAAGTATGGGCGAGGTTACTTCCTGGTTGTAGCCAGTGTGATACTGGAATTGAGGGGCCAGGTAAGGGCGGTGGGCTGACGTCATCATTGCTGCGGCAACGGCCGGTAATCAGCACGACCGAACTTCAACATGTCCCTCAATGTTTGGAAATATATCCTCATCATTCTTACCCTTTTCGGTCTCATCTTCCTCCTGCTCAACATCACCACTGAGGAGGTGAGAGAAGTTTGTTTCAATCTATTTTCTTTTTTTTTTTTCCATGCTGAAGTTGTACACATAAATGTACACACCTTGGCATAATTCGCAAGATATGCACTTTTATTGAAAGAAACCATGGAGTGAACAGAAAAAAAATGCATTCTATTTTAATGGCATTAGACTAAAAGACATTTCCGTAGAGCACAATTAGTGGCGTTCCGATCGACTCTGGCTGGACGCAAAACAAAATCTTCAATACGCAACACGACCCTTCCCAACGGAACCGAGCAGAACGGGAAACAGCGGTCGACCAAACTTGTCAAACGGGATTAGTGCGGAATTGTTGAGGAATGCCATCCTCAAGTGCATGCATTTCAGTAAAGATTTGCCGTTAGATTGTCCAATGTGGCGAAAGCAGCTATTCCACAGTTTGAGGACACCTTTGACAACTGTATTTTGCGAGGCGTTAGTTTTTGGCAATGGTTATTTAATTTGATCATCATTTTCTAATTTAGTGCAATGGCAATGGATTAACTGTATCTTGATTGCTTGTGCAATATTTCAGGTTCGATGGCGTCTACACTATTGCTAAAGAATGGGATTGTGCTAAGGGAAGCCTTTTTTTTTCTACTTTTAACCAGGAAAAAATTACAATGCATCAGTTTTTGGATTGATTTTCTTGTGGATTTGCAACTGTGAACTGGATTTGCAACTCTGTTCGGGGGAATTTGCAGAGGTGGGAGGGAGTAAGTCGCATGTTTCAAGCAAATACCATTGTGGTCAAGCAAGGCAAGATGTGTCAACAGCAAATTTCAAGCAAGTCAAGTCAAAACTTGGTTTAAGATTGTCATAAATAATGCAATCTTTCTTAGTCACAATGTGACAATAAAATGTTTTTTTCACTGCTCATACCTTGACAAGCACATTTATAATTTAATAAACACCAATTTCAGAATGTGAAATGAATATTTATTGTTTGGAAGAATGCATGTTTGTTTTTATCTATGCATGACATGCAATCTTTCTTAGTCACAATGTGACAATAAAGTGTTTTTTTCACTGCTCATACCTTGACAAGTACATTTATCCCTCTAAAAAATTAAACAAACACCAACTTTAGAATGTGAAATGAATATTTATTGTTTGGAAGAATGCATGTTTGTTTTTATCTATGCATGAATGTTTCTAGCTTTAATGTAGCTGTTTAATGCTGTCAATGCGATGGTAAATATTGAAATATGCTTAATGTGGGCGCAATTAAGTAATCACCATATTTAAAAACTACATCTAGTCAAGACAAGTTCAGCTTTATTATAGGTAGAGATTTTTGTGACTTGAGACTCTCCGAATAATATATTTGGCTTTTGACATGTTCACTGCAAGCTTATTTTGTTGGATCCAATCAAAGACCAAATCAAATGCCGAAGTCACAACATTGTCTTGCTCCATGATCGTATTTGCAGTGTAATACAGCCTAGAACCATCATCATCATACCTGGACCACTTTTATGCAAATCAGATGGCAAGTTATTTGTGAAAATGGAATACAGGAGTGGTCCATGGCAGCGCCCCTGTGGGACATCTCAATCTAGGTCTACAGAGTTGCACTAGCTCCAACTGGTTCAAATTCATGGTATTTTAGTGATCAATTTACAACTTGTGATCAATGACTTTGAATACTGTACTGTGATTGCGCAAAAGAATCTCCACCCGCTCCATTTCTCACATTGATTTACACATGCAAATCATGTCATCTCCTCAGAACTGGAAGTACCACATCGTGTCAGCACTTTACAAGGTCCAAAACCGGCTCCAGTCAACAAACCTCTCTGGAACCCTCCGAACCTTTCACAACAATCACACCTTCTGTTCACATCTGAGCAAGCCACTGTCACATGAAGAAGAGCTGGAGGAGCGCAAGCTGTTAAACTCCATCACCTGGCCCCAACTCCCTTCTGGTTCAGAACCACTCAACCTGTCCCAGACGAGTGACCCGGCACACAGCCTGTTTACAATCGTCCTCTCCGAAAAAGACCAACGTCGGTACGTGGGCGACCAGCTGGAAGTGCTTGTTCACCTGCGCGACTTCCAGGGCCGACCCAAGCGCTATGGCGGCGATTTTCTGCTGGCTCGGTTACATTCCCCAAAATACAAGGCAGGTGTGGCTGGGCAGGTGCTGGACCACAAGAATGGACTTTATTCGGCTCGATTTCCGCTGCTGTGGGAGGGATCGGCTCAAGTTGAGGTCATGATGGTGCACTCGAGCGAGGCCGTCGCCGTGCTGCAGCGGCTGAGGGAGAAACTGCCCCCTCCGGTGGTCTTCGTCCGCCTCTT